TAATATATAAATATTTGAAATTTAAATAATTTTAAAATTTTTATGTAATATATTTTTATAATGTAATTTATTTATTACAATTTAATAAATATGACATTAATTTTATATATTTTTTCTAATATGATAATTTAATAACAAAATAATTATTATCTGAACAAATTTATTTTTTCAAAAATATTTTCTATGATATATAATAGATATTTTTATAAATTAAAAAAGAATGCTTAAATTGAAAATTAAAAATAAATTAGCTTTAGCTGAAAAACAAATTTCTGTCTGATTATTCCAAAATGTAAATATATGTATTGACAACGAATTTAATATTATTAATACTCAAATGTAAAATGCAATAAAATCATGAATCGAATACTACATCAAATACTTTTAAAAAACTGGTTATTGATATTAGTCTCAAAAATAATTTAAAGAAAGAAATAAAATTCAGAAGGTTTTGAAGTAACAAACATTATAATTATAAATTTGCATAAATGACTTTCATTTAATGATATATAAATATATCAAAAAATAGATTTATAAAATATATAAATATTCGATTCTTAATTTGATTGCAACAAACTGCTATACTTAATTTAGATAGAAAACTTAAATATACAACTTTAAAATTAGAGAAGAGATAGAAGAGATCTTAATAGATAAATCAAGGATGAAGATAAATAATTATTTTATTTTAATTAGTTTTACAATATGAATATGAATATGAATATAAAATGTAAAAAAAAAAACTATTCATTACTGCATTTATGCAATAAAAATATAATGCATCTGTTATATTATTGTTATAAAAATTTAATATTCCTTTATGTTGTGTTGAATATTCAATATTTTCAAGAAAAATGTTGTGCATTATATAAAAACCTAATATGTAATATAATAGAGATTTAATGATATAATATAATATAATATAATATAGAATTTTTATTTTTATAACTATAATTTATTATTTATTTTTTATTTTTTAGTAAATCTCTAAAAATTTTTTAAAAAATATTTTCTATTTAAATAAATATTTAATAATGTTTTTTCTAATATTGCAACAAATTATAAGGATTATTAACAATTATATCAATTAATTTAAAATTAGATTTTCTATAAGTTGGATTAATCTAATTCAATATATTTTAAAGATTTAAAAATGTTTGAATAAATTCTTTTCCATTATTATTAATGGATTTATTTGATATGCATTATTTACATATTTATATTTTTTTTATATAAATTTAATTCATATTTATAAATTGTAGATATATTATATAAATTTGAGAACAATATATTATTGTTTCTCAAATTTAAAATTTGTTACATTATAATTATTATTTAATTATTTAAATTAAACTTTCTGCAGTAAATAACAATTTTAGTAATCAATTTTATTAATATAACGAAACGATTGAAATATAAAAAGTTATTTACATATATATATATAATGTAATATTACTTTTTTTTTATTAATTTTAAATATAATTAATTAATACATATAACAATTAATTCATATTCAATATCATATTTATTATAATATATGCATACAATGCATGAAATACATACAATAGTAAAAAATTAAATTTTGATATAAATAAACTAAATAAAATAATTATTTGTTTTATTTTAAAATAATTTTTCAATCTTCTTAAATTAATAATATTATAAATTATTAAT